TTTTCTTGGTGGCTGACCGGAAGTAAAGAGGAACCAAAGCTGTTGCCGTAACAACAGAATAGCAATAGTCTTACATAAAATAAAAAATAAATATATACAGACTAACATTATTGTACGTGTTAAGCGTAAATCCCGAATTGCAGTATAAACGTGAAAATGTAAACATTAAATTATAAAACGTGGTACTCGGTGAACTGAATATTTTAATAGCTATATGAATATTTAAACGACTGTTTCCGGTGGGCGGAAGTAATTACGGTTAAGCGCCAATACGTCATTCAGAGGAGTCCCTTTAAGTGAGTGACCCACGGCTGCTCTGTTTGGCTGTGCTTGTCACATTAAATTACTTTCCCTCCTCTTCTTTTATTAATGTAAAAAGGGAAAGATCAACCATTTAGACAAAACGAAAGACAAGTTTCTTTTCCGGACTTCAGCGGCAACGAATTTAAGTTCTCTAATGTTACTATTCGGTAAGTGTAGTTAGCCTACCTCTTCACCGACGTAACGTTACAGGCTAAAAACATGGTGGTGGTTAACCGATAGCTTTAGAACTATTCTAGCATGTTTCAACGTATGTTAGCTTATTTGTTTAGCCTGATTTTACAAATGTTAAGTGGTTAACTAAGTTACCGGACAGTCACCTGTTACGTGGCTACCCCCACGTCACCCGGTAAATGGCTAGCTAGCATTAGCATATTCAAATTTCGTCGTCATATGTATGCTAAGTGACGCCATGTTAGCGCTCCCAAAGGTGGAACACTTGTCTGCATCATAATGGCGGATGAAGCTTTGGAGCTTTCTTTCTGTCTGTGCCGAAAATTATTAGAAAAGTCACGGTTTCAAAGTCAACAGTCATAGTGACATCTGGTGGCTTATAAAACTAAAGCACTGACGTTACAACACCTTGCGGTTTTTAATGGTTTTAGTCTCGTATGTGTGCAATAAAAGTTAATCAAGTCTTCGTGGTTTTGTTAAATATATAATAAGCTAATACCTTAATTCCTATTTATTTAATTGCTTCCGCTAACATCCATGATCAGAACTGCTTTCATAGCCGCGGTATGTTATTCATAGCCATATAAATAGCAAGAGATATGTATCCAGTATTATTTATCTAGACATTTTCTATTTCTATGTTCATAGCAGAGGTCTGCTACTCAGAAATAACAGACTGTAGAATACCGTTTTGGCCTATAATCAGACTCGAGTATTCAACAAAGCCGTGTAATGATGTGCAATCTGTTATAGTAAAATAATTATGTCCAGTTAAGTATTGCGCTGTCCAAAAAGTCTAGATACAGAGTGTTATTGTACCTTATAGTTTGGGCCCATTATCCGTTTTGGACTCATGCGTTTAAACTTCCTGGGCTATATTTATGTAACATATGATTCGCCATGTGATTTTATTGAAGAATGCTGTTCATTAAATTAATCTATTACTTCTTTCTTTTTACATTATTACTTGGTACCAGGTGAAAATGTTCTCAGTGTCATGATTATATCTTTGAAGCTGACATCGCCATATTTCTCAATAATTCTCCTCTCCTCGTATGCCACTAATGTACCTATCACATAGTTCAGCTAAGAAACCGTCAAACTGAAGAATTGCTTTCTGAGGCCTTAGTGAGGTTTGAAGCTTCTGACGTCATCAGTCACGTGGCATTCTTCTTTTGACACAATCTCCAACACAATGATTTTCAAACAGTGAGGTTCACAGCTTTGGTATCAGTCAGGCCACATCTAGTGCACAAGAAAATCAAGCCAGTACAAAAGGACACAGAACATGATGAACCTAGTAACACCAGAAACTCTCCACAGGTACATGGTATTAATTGTTAGCTATGTTTTCAAGCTCACAATGATCCTACATCTTTATAAGCAGTGAACATGCTATTTGGTAGATGCACCAACCATTATTGATCTTGCTCACGTTCTTTTGTGAGTTTAACATCTGTGAAATTTGCTCTGTTAACATTAGTTTATGACAATTACCAATACTGTCAGTGACAGTTTTCTCTTTTATATTTCTTTTCTTCATCTGCAGAGGGAATGGACACAACTTTTGTCAGTGACTTTGAAAGTGTGCTGTGTCAAAGAAGAAGAGGTGCATTAAATATCTGTGCTAATAATGGTGATTTCTTTTTTAAAATCTTGAAAGCATGGTAACTCACAATTACAAATTGTTAGCTCAATTGTCATTGTACTATATTTGTGTAGAATGTATAGCATTTTGAAGTTCACAATACTTTTGAGTTAGCCCTTTTCCTACTTACTATAAAAAAGACTAACTGGATGCTTTTAACTGCCCATCAACACACTTTATCTGGGATTGTATGTGTAAACCAGTTTTACTAATTCTAAAATTCTTATGTTAATTTAAAGATCTATTGCAGTGTGCGGTATGTTTTCTAGGTTATTCAAAAGGACGAGTGTAAATCCATAACAAGCTGCACATGGCAGTAGAAAGTACAGTATTCTAAACTAAATGTGTCGGTGTTGTGTTGTGTGCTCAGGTTTCTGGGCTGCTTGTGGATAATGCTGGACACACCTGAAGAATGTTTCCCTGCTTGTCTTCTGTACTGGTAGGTAAATTACATTACAATCGCTTTCATGCGACAACGAAGAAGAAATGTACATTTAACACACTCATGAGAACAAAATTCAGGATGTTGGCTAATTTAAATTAATTTCATATTTTTTGACATAAGCACTGACTTGACTGTGCTAACATCACCCAACATGAAAGAGTAATGCTGCTGCATATGATGTTAACATAACTTCATGATCATTTTGATATTATGTGAGTCGAGTTTGTTGATGCTGAAATCATGAACAGCTAAAATGGCCCCTAGTTTAGGTTAAATTTAGAACTGTGACATTTACCATTAAGAGGAGAAAATGGAGAAATTAAGTCAAGCACAGTAATGGAATTACTGCGTCAAAGACACCATCAACTGAGACTCATTAGAGTTTAGTATCATATTTGATTAATTTCATGATTTACGGCTAATATTTACAATATCAGTATGTTATTCATGAAGCCAGTGTATGGAGAAATGTCTGACTTGGCACTGGGGACTACAATGTAGCACATATGAAGACAATCCAGCTTTCAAGTTTAAAGGCATTACTGTGATGAGATGGTGGAGCTTCTGACCAGCTGGTTCTACTGAAGTTTGAATATCAAGCAATGAACAGCTAAAAGGTAAAATAGTGGGTGTTTGTTTCTCAGAAGCATTAGTTGACTGCCTTATGATCTATAGTTTCTGTATGCCTGGGTCCAGTCCTTCGAATCCACCCAATCCATTGGAGTGTAGCAACCTGTCGATTCTGTCTGATATTAGCAAAGATTCCTTAGCAAATGATTTGTGCTTTTGACATGAAGGAAATTTACCAGCAACTTGTACAGAGAAGTGGCTTAGGTTAATACTGTAACATCTGTGTCATTCAGTGGAGCATATGCCAAATGTAGAAGAACACTAGAAAAGTGCATGTCCTTGTTGCCCACTATTTTTCTTACGTGTGATTATTTTTTTCATGGCACTTATTGTCTCTGAAAGGGAACCTGAATCAATTTTACACATCATGGTCTGTACTGGTTTTGGGGGAGGACTTTTGCATGTGTGAAAAAAGTTGTATAAAGCATTTTGTGGTGAGAGGGAGCATGCACAAAACCTATCAAATAGCTGTCACATGAGTTAGCGCTGGTTGGTGCTGAAGACAGAAACTTTGAAAATTAAAAGAATCAGAGGGCCAGCAATTAGGCAGAAGTGAGGTTATCAGACCTCTGTAGCCTGCTCCTCATCTCTGCTTGGGGCTAACAGCTCAAGACTTCATAAGCTGCTATGAGCATAACACTGAATTTATGCCTTTATGATACATTCAAGTTATCACATATTATTCTTTATTGTTCAGCAGAGCCCAAGAAGAAATGTCTTTCAATGTGTGTCGCTGTCCATGGTGCTGAAACAGTTAGGTCTGTGATTTTCTCAGAGTTTTTTGCAGTTGTTCTGTCTTACTGCCTAATTGTCAGCTGGGTTTTTCCATTTCTGGCCACACATCCCTTTCCCCATCATAAGGAAATTGTCATTTGATTTACACAGAGAATGTATGAATTATTAATCATAACAAATCTTGTGTCACTTCGCATTCTATGACTGCTTGGGACCCTGACTGGAGACAAAAAGCAACTACTACTACCACTACTGCAACTAAAACAACAACTACTACTACTACTACTACTACTTCAACTACTAATAGTACTACTACTACCACTAATAGTACGACTACTACTGATAATAATAATGCAATGAATTTTCTGTTCAGTGATATATTAAGAAGGAATATTTTGTAACAGAACAAGAAAACTTTAAATGAGTCATAAGCATACAGGTACAGCATATTCCGAATATGCCTTCCGACTAAGTGAAAAATAATTGATAAGTCTTTTTTTTAGCAACCCATAACACATTCCGTTTGTAATTTGATTTTAAAGTCAATTAAAAGTTGTTGTTTTTTTTTTTATTCCATACTGTGTACAGACATTTATTTATTGTGATATGAATAATGTGTGTCTTTATTGAATAAATAGTGGCTGGTTTTTACCCATGGTGCTTAAAAGTGCATTTCTATTATGGTTTGTTAGTGCAAATATAATGTTTACGTTTATTTAGAATTTAGGTTTTTGTCTTGAAGTAAACACACATTGGTCAATAAAATAAACTCTCATTCCATAAGCTACTTTTTTTGTAACAATCTTTGTACAATATATTGTGGCGTTTATGTTTTACATGTGGCACACAGTTCGTGTTGAAGTGGGTGAACATGTGGTGTCTTGAGACATTGTTGAGAATATTGTATGCAGGTGTAAAGAGTAAAAAGCGACTCATGGTGCCGCTGTAGGCCAGCACACAGTTTGCACCGACATCTCCACCCACTGTTACTGCATTAAAATCGGTTGTTAATTTTCAGTAGAATCCCCTCATTCCCCGGCTGATTTTCATCGCGTTCGATGTTGTAGCATGTTGGATTATTAACCTATTTTGGAATTTGACTTTTTGTTGATTAGGCCTACAGTAATTTGCACACGTTGTGGGCTTGTGTTTTTTCCGACGATGGGAGACAAAGGATTTCCACCGCTTCGTCCGATCTTCTGCTTTGCTTCCTTTATTGTAACGCTGCACCTCGTTAATGGAGACCTGAGTTATTCTATTCCAGAAGAAATGAAACGCGAGTCTGTTATTGGAAATATAGCTAAAGATCTCGGTCTTGATCTGAGGACATTATCTTCTCGAAAGGCCCGTATTGACTTTGAGGGTGCTCGTAAGCGGTACTGTGATATTAATCTGAGTACTGGAGATTTGATCACATCGGAGAGAATTGACAGAGAAAGCCTTTGTGGCAAGAAACCGTCGTGTGTTGTTGCGGTTGATCTTGTATTGGAAAATCCTCTGGAGCTTTATCGACTAAGTCTTCATATTCAAGATGTGAACGACAACTCGCCAAAATTCAAAAAACAATTGATTGAAATGGAAATAAGCGAATCAGCCAACAAGGGTAACCGCTTCTCTATCGAAGGGGCCCATGACGCAGATATAGGTCAAAATGCTGTTCAAAGATACCGCCTAGAAAAGAACGACAACTTTATTCTCGCTGTTGACAGCAACAAAGTTGAACTGGTACTGGAGAATACACTTGATCGAGAGAAACAAAAGGAGATTAATTTGCTTCTGACAGCTTTAGATGGTGGCTCTCCTCAGAGATCAGGTACTGTAGTCATACACGTCACTGTGCTGGATGCTAATGATAACGCCCCAGTGTTCAGTCAGGCCGTTTACAAAGCCAGTCTGCCTGAAAACTCTCCTCCAGATACTTTAGTGATTACTGTTAGTGCTACTGACGCAGATGAAGGAGTGAATGGAGATGTGACATATGACTTAAGCCATGTGTCTGACGACGATGTAAATGCATTTTCTATTGATCCTAAAACGGGAGAGATCAGAGTGACTGGTTTGATTGACTTTGAAGAAAGCAGTTCTTTTGAAATGAGCGTGGAATCCAAAGATGGTTTGGGACTAACCTCTTATGCTAAGGTTATAATAGATGTTACTGATATGAATGATAATGCTCCAGTTATATACCTGAAATCACTGTCTAATCCCATACCTGA